AGGTAAGGGACTCTTTAACTAAGGAGATGATCAACAACAGTATTTCATGAAAACCACTTTTTGATTCTGAATTTCTATTTTTTTTGCCATAGGCCCTAAAAGTCCTCAGGACATCAGAGTTTTTGCCGTATGTGGTGTTCATCAAAGCCCCAGAGTTTGAGGTGCTGAAGGCCATGAACAGATCTGGGGTGGAGGCAGGAGTGACCAAAAGCCGAACAGTAAGTTTAAAGGGATAGTTCACCCAAAAATGAAATCGCATCATATGACTCATATGAGGGTGATTTACTCACCCTCAAGCCATCCTAGGTGTATGTGACTTTCTTCTTTCAGATGAATACAATCAGAGTTATATTAAAAAAATGTCCTTGCTCTTCAAAACTTTAGGTGTTCAGATTTTGAATTCCAATAAAGCACATCTATCCAAAGATGTGCACATCTATGCAAAGCGATACATTTGTGTAACAAAAATATCCATATATAAAACTTTATAATTCGTAATCTAGCTTGCACTAACCGTTGTACATGCATTCACAAGAGAGTGGCGTCCAGTGGATGACGTAGGATGTAGGCGTAAGCATGGTGACCGTGATTTGACCAAGTACAACATGTTCCTGGAACAACATTCCAATTAACCAATCAGAATTGAGGGATAACTTTTCAGGAAATGTCTGTTTTAGGCTTACGATCAGGGTTAGGTGCTTCCACACCCTTGTTAATCAGCTATCATTTCACACTGCTTTTAGGAATAAATTATGGGTAGGGTTAGGTTTAGGGGTAGGGATTGGGTTTAGTCTATATTTTTGGACAGTAATGTTGATCCAGGATAAATAAAAGATGTTAACATGTCTTACTTGGCAAAATCACGTCGACCGCGTAGCATAAGCTCCGGTGAGAAATGACGAACACGGAAGCACAGAGGAGAGAGCAAAACAAAACACCGGTCACAAATTAGTTCAATATAAGTCAAGAGGAGACTGGTTTTCCTTTGCTGTATACAAAACTTGGTTTTCGCGAGACTAGCATCTTCTCACTGGAGCTTACGCTACACCTACATCCTACGGGCTAGAGATTACGGTTTATAAAGTTGTAAGGTAACACTTTATTTTAAGGTGTCCTTGTTACACATGTTACATGTTCGTACTATTATAATAACAATAAATTATGCATAATTACATTGCAAATTGCAAATAACCCTAAACCAAACCCTAATCCTAACCCTAACCATACAGTAAGTACATGTAGTAATTTAATATTACTTAGTACTTAAATGTATAATTACACCGTAACAAGGACACCTTCAAATAAAGTGTAACCAGTTGTAAATATGGATATTTTAATTACACAAATGCATCGCTTTGCTTCAGAAGGCTTTTATTAACCTCCTAGAGCTGTGTGGAGCACTTTTTATGATGGATGGACAGACTTTATTGGACTTCAAAATTTCAACACCCATTCACTTCCATTATAAAGCTTGGAAGTGCCAGGACATTTTTTTATATAACTCAGATTGTATTCATCGGAAAGAAGAAAGTCATATATACCTAGGGATGGCTTGAGGGTGAGTGATTATGGGGTAATTTTCATTGTGTGAACTATCCCTTTAAGTCCCACTTAGTAGCTGTATACTAAACATGGTTCTCTTGAAACTCAAGTTTTGCCCATCCTAAAAATCTTCATCTGTCTCTTCTCAACAGGACGCAGAGCTGAAGAGGACGGTGGATGAGAGCGCCAAGATTCAGAGAGTGTACGGACACTACTTCGACCTCACCATAGTAAACGACGATTTGGAACAAGCATACAGGAACCTCAAATCCTCCTTAGAGAAGTTAAAGGGAGCTCAGCAGTGGGTTCCTGTTGGGTGGGTGTTTTAGAGCTCAGTACAGCAACTAATGGATGATTCATGTGACACTTTATACCAGTGTTAACTGGTTTAAATCATCAACCTCGTGCCAAGGGTGTACACTGATCAGAGAGCTTTGTGTGAGTGTGTGAAATCAGCATCTACCTTTTACAAAAACAGCGACATACTGATACAAACTTCAGAACCAAGGTTATAGATAACTCGTGTCAGAATTTAACTACAGTCTCATCTTTTTGTTTACAGTAAACATTCAAGTTTCAGTTCTGATGTTTCTTGAAATTTGAGATATTTTTTTCTTTAATTTTACACAAAATATCTGAACATCTTTTAACAATTAAGTTAAAAAGAGTAGTCTCTCAAAGAAAAAGATACATTTATTTCAGAAGCAAACCTGTAAGACAAGACTATATTTTGCAGAATATATCTTGAATGCATAATTTATAATGATTAATTGTTTTTTTGTTTGTTTGTTTTTTTGTTTAAATGTAACCTTTTCAAAAGGTTGTTAGATTTATTGGGTTAAAACAAACAACAACAAAAAAACTTGAACTACTGTTCAAAAGTTTGGGGTCAGTAATATTTTAATAAATTAATACTTGAATAACTGATTAAAAGTGACAGTAAAGACATTTATATGTTACAAAAGATTTCTATTTAGGGCTGCACGATTATGACAAAAAATCATAATTGTCGATTATTCCCTTGAAATTGTAATTGCGATTATTAATTACGATTATCACAATTTACATTGAATGATGTTTTTAGATGAACATAAACAAGCTGAAAACACTCTAACTGAAAAAACTTTATTGCTTTTCTATAGTGTTAAGCCTCAAATGGCATCCATTCATTGGATTGGTTTCTTCTTTAAATAAAAAAAGTTAAAATATGAATGGTATTATAATGTCATATTAAAACTAAAATTAAAACAATGGGAAAACCCTTAAGATAACTTGTAGAAAGAAAAAACACATCTTAAGCACGCAGAATAACATAAGTGGACTTTTGAATGATTAATTGGCGCTTTGAATGATTACATAATTGTGACATCCGTAATTGTAATTGCGATTAGAAATTTGATTAATTGTGCAGCCCTGTTTCTATTAAAATAAAAGCTGTACTTTTGAACTTTCTAAACCCCAAAAAATGTATCACGATTTCCACAAAAACTGATAATAAGATAAGTTTCTTGAGCAGCATATTAGAATGATTTCAGAAGGATCTTGTGACACTGAAGACTGGAGTAATGATGCTGAAAATTCAGCTTTAATATCACAGGAATAAATTACATTTTAAAATAAAAACTTAAAAACATTAAATTGTAATATATTACACAACTGCTACTGCTTTGCTGTATTGTTTATCAAATAAATGCAGCCTTGATATGCATAAGAAACTTTAAAAAAAAATTCTGAATCGATCCCAAACTTTTGAATGATAGTATGTATTCTCTAAATCTTATGCAGATTTGCTTCTCAAGTATATTTAACAAGTTACATTTTTAAAAAATAATTTTGATTTCAAATCCACAGTTTCGTACAGGCCTACATAAATTCTGTTAGCATAGGTGGTAGATGATCGGACAGTGTTTCATCTCTGAATTATATTTTTATTATAAGGCTCTATTTTGCTCAGCTCCTGTTGTTGTGTCAGGCACATGACTTTTGTACAGTTTTTTTTTCATATACATCCACATTACAGCACTATTTTTTCTGAATTTAGCACAGGAATATATGGAAATGTGATCATATACAGACTGAAAGCACACTGAGTAACAGAAACAGCGGGCAGATAATATTTGCACACAATATACTGTGCAGAAGGTCACTGAATGCAGCATATCATTGACTTCAGATGGTTCTTTTTGCAGATCACCATATCAAGCATTGTGAACCATTTACATATTTAGAAACAATATACATATTTATTTATTGATTTGGACCAAACCTCATTTTTACACTTAAATTGGAAGAACAGTGCTAGAGCATGGCATTAAGACCTTTATATAAATATCTATGAACACGCTGTCAGTGTAAAATGTTGTGACTGCATGTAATCTGTGTATCTGCTCTTATTCGCAGCAATGTATTCTAATGCTGTATATGCTTATTGGATGAAAATATCTCTTTTTATTACAGACAAACCCTCTCTACTTTTTTATTACGAATGATCATTCTTCAATATTCTTACATTTATTTTCACTGATTATCATTCATGCCAATGATATTTGGCTTGAATATTGGCAGCTATTGTTTATTTATTTGTTTTTTTTATCATTTATATCTGTGTGTGAGGTGTTTGGATTTAAGTTTTGATATTGATATTACATTTATAATGGAATAAGCTAGAGGCAGATACTGTGTATAGTAGTCATGTTTCATGAGCAAAATCAATGAATGATTAAAAGAACAATCTGTAAATTGCCTTATTTCTGAAATAAAATGTTTGGGGAAATAATGTGTTAATAAATGAATCATTAATTGAATGGATTTAACAATCAAAGTCAGAAAACAAAATACGGACAGCATTGTATACACCTTTTAACTTCAATATCTGTGTTGCTAATGAATGAACTTTACTGTCCAGATTGACACTGATTCCACACAGACAAGAACTAGACTTCATTCTCAATGAATGGGTAAATATCTTCAGCAAATTACAGAGACAGTCGTTTATTTACAATCTAAATGTGACCTAGTCAAGGATTAGGTTGTTTTGTCTTCAGTTAGCATGGCCCTGTGGCATTTGTGTGGCAAGTGCCTGTAGTTTTGGACACACTGGCTTTAAGAGCTTCTGTCACTGGTTGATAATTTTGTTAAATATGAATGTAACTAAAGTAGAATCCATATAAATCTGTCATTTTTAAGATTTCTGAATAAGAAATTTCAGAATTATATTTAAAAGTAAACGTGAGATTAACTCCTGTTGTCCTATGATATATTGTGTTTTTCTGTCTGCGAAAGGGAAACATAAAGATATGAACTGATTTATCATCTTAAATTCAGATCAGCTCACATAATTGTTTGTTCACAGTCACGTCGTCCAGCCCTACTTTATCCTGAGCAGATTATTTAACCGGTTTCACCAGCAGAGGGCAGAGGTTGTCCCACAAATGCATTCACTTCAGAGGCTGTATGTATGCCAATAAGTGTGTGGTAGTGCAACGCGATGATGTTCATTCGAAATCCGACCAACATCGAGGTACATGAATTGTTAAATTAAATATCATTATTCTGTCTACAAACCAAGTTGCGGTATTGATAAAAATGTATTGTTTAGAGCAGGGGTGGGCAAACTTGGCTTTTCCAGGTCACTTTCCTTCAGAGTTTAGCTCCAACTCTAATCAAACACACCTGAACCAGCTAATCATTGTCTTCAAGACTACTAGAAAGCTACAGACAGGTGAGTTTTATCAGGGTTGGACCAAATCTCTGCAGGAAAGTGGCCTGGAAGGGCCAAGTTTGCCCATCACTGGTTTAGAGACTATAAATGAGTCTTTATTAAAAGTTTGATTATTTGGAGGGAATGGCTTGGTTTTACATTTGATTTAAAGGGATAGTTCATCCAAAAATGAAAATTCTGTCATTAATTATCTCACCCTCATGTTGTTCCAAACCCGTAAAACCTTCGTTCATCTTCGGAACACAAATTAAGATATTTTTGATGGAATCCGAGAACTCTCTGACCCTCCATAGACAGCAAGGATATTACTATGATCAACGCACAGAAGGACATCTTAAAATAATCCATGTGACATCAGGGGTTCAACCGTATATTTGACGAAGCTACGAGAATACTTTTTGTGCGCAAAGAAAACAATAATATCGTAATTTATTCAACAATTCTTCTCCCCGAGTTACCGTTTTCTGCTATTTTGGAGAGTACTCCAGAACGTAATCAACGTAATGAGCGCTGTTTACGTTCAGCATGCGCATGCTGTCTACTGAACATAAACAACGCTCATTACGACTTAATTGTGGTAATGTCGTAGCTGTCTATGGGAGGGTCTGAGAGCTCTCAGATTCCATCAAAAATATCTTAATCTGTGTTCCGAAGATGAACGAAGGTCTTACGGGTTTGGAACGACATGAGGGTGAGTAATTCATGACAGAATTTTCATTTTTGGGTGAACTAACCCTTTAAGCATAAGGTACGAGAGACGACGCTATACTGTGAATACAGTACTTGTACGTCTCACTACAGTAGCTGCAACTTCTTTAACCATGAATATAACAATACAGCATAACCCAGAGTGTATTTTATATAATGCTAACTAAACATTAACAAATACTAAGGACACAAGTTTTCAGTCAATCTATGGAACGCATGCACAGTGATTAACAGGTGTTTCTTGGCCAATCAGATAGGCCTACCATGACGAACTATTTGCATGTTATGTGCGTTTCATTAAAATAATAATAATAATAATAAAAACTAGCTCTAAATCCTCTCACGGCTCCACAGTATTTTAAAGGATAGTTTATCCAAAAATTAAACTTCTCTCATGTCATTCCAAACCTGTATGTGTTTATTTCTTCTCTTGAGCTCAAAAGCAAATATTTTAAAGAATGTTGGTAACCAAATTGACAGTAGTGCTGACTTCCTAGTGTTTCCTCCACCCTTCCCCCCATACTATGGAAGTCAGTGGCTACCATCAGCCAACATTCTTCAAAATGCCTTCTTTTGTGCTCAAGAGAACAAAGACATACAGGTTTGGCATGATATGAGAGCGAGTAACTGATGACAGAATTTTCATTTTTGGGTGAACTAACCCTTTAACCTGTATAGTCTCTATTAAAAAAAAAACCTTCCTTGAACTCACTTATACAAAAAAATATGTGTATTTATGCAACTCCTTATTGCCACTCCCCTCACTAACCTGATTTATCTTCCCACAAGTGTGGAGGTGAAAACAGGATGTATTCTGGTAAAGAGGCAACTTCTTAGATAACCTGTAGAAATGCAGATACTATATGAAAGCAGAAATGTTTAAAATGGCCAAACTGTTCATTAAGAGAAGATCATTTATAGCCTGAAAGCAAGTCATTCTCTGCAGCAGGTCAAGTTGACCTTGTACTTCAGATATTTTAAGCCATTTACTTTTATTGACCCAGTATCTCTGAGAAAACAGTGAGAGGTCATGCATGAAGTTACCTCACTGGACCCACAGTCTTCCATTTGTATATTCAATACTTTATTCAATTTTCATATTTCAAAAACATATTTTATCCAGTAAACCACAAGCAAACAGGAAATAGCTATCTTTTTATGCTTCTATTGGTCATATAGTAGAAGTGGATGCCGGCAGATCATTGGTGTCATTTCTGAGAATATTTTTCAGTCATGTGAAGATATGATGACATGGGCGTGTTTTATGTTTTTTTTCCACCGAGTTAAGACGTGATGTCTACAATAGTCTACGTAAGTCGTGATGCACAGGTACAGTACTAATGTAGACCTTTGTACCAGTAAACATTCCATTGCAACCATAATTCCATTGCACTTACAACACGGGCACAGTAAAAGCTTTTACACTTCTATAGATTATGTGGCATGAGAAATGAGGATGATAGTAAAAATTGATTATTTAAGCATGTTTTCTTATCTAGAACTCTCAGGCCTCTTGGATTTGCATATAATATAAACCATGCCACAAACTGAAATGTTCTGAAATTATGCAGTTTGATTATCATCATCCTATATTTTCTTAAGTTCTAAAATGTTATTTCTAAATTATACATTGCCCATGTAAATAATGAATTGGCATTATTTAATTTGGTGGTAGATGTTTAATAAGAAATCAATTAATTACATCAATGAAACAAATATTTCATATTAAATCAATAATAAATCAATAAATGGACAGAAAGAGAGAAACACTTGGCAATATGACTGTATGCAATTATATAACCTTTGCTGACATTAAAGTGTTTGAAGAGGTAGAAAGAAAAACTATGTTTTTATGTTGCATTTTTCTATTTGATTTTTGTATATACAGTATCTCACAGAAGTGAGTACACCCCTCACATTTTTGTAAATATTTTATTATATCTTTTCATGTGACAACACTGAAGAAATGACACTTTGCTACAATGTAAAGTAGTGAGTGTACAGTTACAAAAATGTGAGGGGTGTACTCACTTCTGTGAGATACTATATATGTATTTATTTTTATCTTTTGGTTTTACATATTCTGTTTACTAACAAAATTGCACTTATGTGACTGTGTGTGTATTTAACTGTCAATGCACCTTCATAAATAGCCAAAGCTGTGAATTCTCCAAAGGTGTTGTTTTAACTATATGGTTCATATTTTATGAGTTATAATAAATGCATTGGCTTATGTCTGTGTAGGACCATGAGGGCAGTGGCAGTGGTAATGCTCTGGTCTTTGGTTCCTGAGGGCACTATGAAGAGTGACAGTAAGAAAGATGGCTTATACTACACATCGTTTCTTATCTCTCGATAACATTAACATATTCTTAGGTATATATTGAGGATATTATTATTAAGAGCCAGTGTTTATACAACATTATTTTAATCATACAGTTTCAGCTGTACAATTTACAACAGGTCAACCATTTACAACATTTCTTATAAATGAACACATTTCACAAAGTTAACAAAAAAAGTTTAGCTATAGCATGTACAAAATTGATAAATATTCACAAAACAAAACATATATACTAAACCTTTAACCAAGTTCTGCTGCTCATTGTGCAAAACTGTCTTTGTGACCCTGTAGGACATGTTCAAAATCCCAACAGAGTCACAGATTATTATAACTGTGACATTATCTTTCTCACCATTTAAACCTTTGCATAGGTAGCATGAGTAGAAGTCCTTGGAAAAGTCATGAGAATATGACGTTGCTTCTTATTTTTCCTTTAACCAGTCCAAGTGCTTGAGATGCGCTTATGATCATGAATGTGAGGAAGGAGAGACAGATTCTGAATATGCAGGAGGGGGTTCCACAGGAAAGGCCTCGGGCTTCAGATTCAACTGCAGAAGCAGGAATTAATCATCATTACCAGTGAGGACAAAGAGCTCATTTAAACATTTCAGGACAAGATATTTTAAATGATGGTGTTGACAACTTGAACTTAATGTACTGGTGTGCTTGATGTTTTTTTTTTTTTTTTTTGGTGAAACATTATACACTTTAAAATACTGAGTACACTTTAAAGCTGTGAAATCAATTAATCCATATACCTTATGAATTGAGTAAATGAAAATTGAATAAAAGTAGATAAGAATAACTACTTTTGGTACCATGACAAATAAAACTAAGTGCAATATAAGACCCAAAAAGTTCATTTGACTCAAACATTAGAGCAAAGACTATATATATATTCATTTGAATACAATAAAAATGCAGCTTTAAAAATGTAGCTATGATTATTAGCAAGAAATAGCACACATATATTTTATAAGTTGTTGTTAAAGGCAAAAAATATTGAAATGAGTAATAATTGTCTAACTGGTCGGTAGGCTATTATATTTTGATTACATAATATATTGATTGAATTGAACAAAAATATGAAGTTTATCTTAAAAAGTATATACAGTATATATATATCCACAAATATATGTAGTTAGTCAAATACTAATTTCTTTTCTGTTCGATTTTTAGACATTGGTATTTGGTATTTCCAACTCAAACAATCTAGGACACTAAGGTTCACCAAAAAAAAAAGAAGAAAAAAAAAAGAAAGAAAATTCTGTCATCATTTACTCGCCCTCAAGTTGTTCCAAACCTGTATGAGTTTCTTTCTTCCACTGAACACAAAATAAGATATTTTGAAGACCAAACCGTTTCTGATGCCCATTGCCTTTCATAGATTTTTTTCATACTATAAAATTCAGTCAGATATATATATATATATTTCTGTTCAACAGAAGAACGATACTCAATACAGGTTTGGAACAACTTGAGTAAATGATGACAGACTTTTCATTTTTGGGTGAACTATTTCTTTAAGTTATTCATGTGATATTTACAAAGCCACTGAATTGTTTTACAGTGTTTTCCACAATATCTTCAGGGTTACCTCGTGATAAGCAGGGGGTGGCTCGTAGAACTGTACAGTGCTGTAGCGCGGTGGTCTGTGCAGCTCATCTTCAGACAGAGAGATGGGAATGACGTAGACAGACGGTTGATCCACGTCTCGAACTTGAGTCTGCACATGCTCCACTCGCTCCTTACGAACTCGCTGGAATACTTTACAGCAGCCAGCACAGCAGATCGACAAAAAACCAAAGGTTACGATAGGTATGAAGATCCTGAAACAACAACGATTGAGCTGTGTTAAGATACAGCATGAGTGTGAGCATGTGTGCTCATGTGATTTGGAGTTGTTAGTGATGATAAAGAACATAAACCATTCATATATCCTACAGATAGAGAATATTTTATTTTTCAAATTTCCAGAATGTGGAAATAAACAACAGATACATAAGAGAATAAAAGCAAATATTATTTTTTTTACATTTTATGATCTTCAAATGTCAAAAAAAGCTATTGCACAATGGAAAAATGCAATTTGAATCAGCTTTACTAAATTGTAAATTGTAATTTAATGTGAGGTTAAAATAACACAATATATAGTATACTAATTGTACATTATTGTGTGTGTGTATATATATATATATATATATATATATATATACACACACACACACACAAAAAAACATATATATGTATGGTTTAGATATTTCCGTTTGTGATCATGTGATCTTCGGTTAAGAGATCTTGTGATGCTTTTTAAAGCAAAGTTGGGGTTCACACACACACACATAAAATAACATACATTTGTATGGTTTTGGAACAGATCTTATGTGTGTTCAGTTTTATAAACGAGTATTGAAAGTCGGTATACATACTTAAATACTAAAAATGAATCATCACTCCTCTCCATGGCAATAAAGAAATTCACAGTTCAGAAGCAACTCTGTTAGGAAAGAAATAAATTATATTTGGATGATGACATTTAATTTGTCTATAATCAGTAATATACATATAATATCGAATTCATTGTGGACTGGAAAGGCAAGAGCTTGATATAATTATCAAATATAATAGTCTTTCATACTTCAACCATTTAAGAGGCAAATTTATATTGTACAGTACTTTGTTGAAATGCATCTTTTTTTGCAAAAACCTCATTTTATTCGTTTCTCTTAGAAATCTGGAATTCCACAAGGCTTGTATATCATTTAATAAGTAAATGTTAAGTAAATAAAGAATTTTGCAATTCATAGACCTTTGAAAATCAATGTGTGAATATTTAACCCCCATAATAAACTTTTGTAACCTAATGAGTCAAGACAGTGACGCTAACCGGAAATGTCCCAATTCTGTATTGAGGACAGATAAATGATAACAAACCACAGTTATAAAGCAAAATATATATTTCTCAAACTCTTTGGAGGTCAGATACATGTTCTAAAGTAAATAACAAGCTTTTCCATTCATAATTTGTCTTTTACTATAAGTCAGGGCTGTTGCTGAGGGCCACCAAGGTCATCTATATGGAATATCTTACTCATTGGGCCCAATTGGGCTAAACATTTTGTCACAGGCCCTGTAAAGATTTGTCAACGCCTTGCTGTAGGCCTATGTGTTAGAGCAGCACCCCTTCAACACCCATCAAGAAACACTTCAACTGACACCATAAAACAACAGCTGCCATGTTGATTTCTCCCATTTTCACTTACTGCCAGCAGTGTTTTAGACCTCACCTGTCCTTTCCAGCCAACAAAGGAATCACAGAGTCACAAAACAAAAGAAACTCTTGCTAATATACAAACACTGAAGCTGTCGAAAAACTGCCTTGAACATTATTAAAAAGCCTACATATCAGTATATTTATACAAGCCCAGTCACATGTCAGTGATACTCTACTAGCATAGGTGAACATCATACACATTTTATGTAGTTAGTAAAATGATTACTTCTTATACCAGCAAGTTTTCAAGCACATCTCTGAAAAACAAATAGAAGTCTTACCTCAAAGAACACAGGTGATTACAGCAATAAAGTAGATGTTGAATACACTGCTCTGATTTGAGACTGAGTCTTATCTGAGGGAGGGTTTAAAGTGCTGATAGTGAAGTTTGAACACTTTTATGGTGACTGTCTGGTGTTTAAAGACACAGTACCTATATAACAGGTGTTTCCTGTATGGACATTTTGTTTTTGCAACACTTAAAAAGGTACCATACCCAGTGACCGTTTTGTTTTTTAGTACCTTTTTTTTTTTTTCTAAGAGTACACCATCAACAGTGTGCTTCATTATTTGTCTTTTATTTACCTAAATTACCTTACCATTAAAGTACAGGCATTATATTGCCTATATCATTATACTGCCTCTCCCTGATAAAAGTGAAAGCTTCCTTACAAAGTCCAGGCTGGTTTGTGTAGGTTTGGTTTTGGTACAGCTGGTGGATCAATATGATCTTTCTGGCAAAGACAGCTGATCAAGGAAGTCTTACTATTTAATCTAGTTAAGATGCCTGGTAGTGACTCCAGTACCTCAGTGTTCAAAACAGCTGTGCTCACTCCAAATACATAATTATATCTGCCCAGAATTTTCCCTTTCATTTATGTGAAATAAAGAGAAACACACTTAAGTTTAAGAATGGTGCTGATGAGCCAGTTCCCCATGAATGAACTCTAATCTAGTTGTCAAATAAACCTGCCATTGTATATTATGAATTTTGTTGGTTCCTTGACAAACTGCTTTTGTTTTATCTTTTGTAAATCACTTTGGATAAAAGTGTTTGCTAAATACATAAATGTAAAATGAAGAGGTTAAATGATCTTATAAAGTGAAAAGAGAGTGGATGGTTAGAAACGACATAAAACAAATGCAACTTCATTCCCAGACATTACCGTCAACAGTTTATTGATTCTATGGACTGTAAATGCTACGTTGGTATCATAAAACATTGAAATTGTGACTGAATTGGGCCAATGTAGTGTACATTAACATTTATTTCACTAAATAGAGCATAAAATGTTTGGGAAAATACTATATTTGCAAGGGAATCAAGAAAATGTTACCAATTAAATGTAATTTATCATAAGTAATAAAGGTTGTTAATTAGGAAAGTGCATTATAATATATTACACATATATATTATTATATATTACTTCATTATTTACTTTGCACAATTGCCTATTCAAACAAACCATGAAAATATGTTTACAGAATTAGCCACTAAACATCCACTATTTAACACGACTTTGTGAATTTTTCAAATACAACTAAAGTTTCTTAATATGTTGTTCATTACGATTATAACTTAAATGTCCTGAGAGATCAATTATGATCATCATTATTTAAGACCAAAGTAAACTTTAAAATACAAACTCATCTCTGCTGGAAACAGTCAGCATGTTAATTCCATTTTAAATGTTTTAAAAGGCCAACATAGTATAAAAACATTTCCGGGGTTTCAATCATACAGCTGATTTCACTGTTTTACTTTAGAAATAGAAATTCAAGGTGCCTTCGGGTCTCAGTTATTCATTCACTGACATTCTGGCTTCTTATGGCCAGTTAAGCGGTGGACTCCACATAGTTGCCAGGAAAATATCCCATTACTCCATTGAGAACGCCCTCACACCAGCCATCCTCATTCCTGCTGGTGAGGTAGATGATATCGCCCTCCTGAAACACCAGGTCACCTGGCTTGCCTGTGTCGTAGTTATATAGTGCCACCACTTGGTAGGAAAAAGAATCACAATGAAAAAATCAGTACCTGAAGATATATTTAATATCTCCTGTTCTGAATGTGTAATTACAAAATGATCTGTCTTGGATGTCAATATAGTCATTTTCACAATGCAAATTCTTTACCTGAACGAGTCATCATAAATGAGCCTACCTTTATCCAAATAGTCGGCTGGTGCAGTTATGTCATAATCAATAGGAGGAGGTAGAGGGGGCAACCCTTCAAAGTTG